AATTAATATCTACATGTCTACTTTACTTTCTTTTAAATCACACCATTAGAAATATATGAGTAAATCATAATCTCACAGCAAGGTTCTAAAAAACAATGTGAGAATAAATATTCTATATATGTACAAGGTCACGTTTGGGTCATACCCACTATATATGTTCTCTATATGTATTTCTTAATAAACACTGATAATAGGATGTGTTAATATGTAACACTATCTGTAGAATTCATTCTTTTTCAAGCTTTTAATTGAAGTATAATATACATACAGGAAAATGCACATACCATACATGTTCAGTTAGAAGAATTTTCGGGGCACCTGGGTTGCTTAAGCGTCTGAATCTTGATCTCAGCTCAGGTCCTGATCTCAGTGTCAGGAGTTCAAGCTCTGTACTGGGCTCCATGCTGGGCGTGGAACCTACTTAAAAGAAATTTTTTTTCACAAATTGACTACAGCCATTTAACTAGGGACCAGATCAATCACAGGTTCATCAGTCATAACAAATCTATCACGCTGGTGGGGATGTTGATAATGGGGAAGGCTATGCATGTGCGGGGCAGAGGATATATGAGAAATCTCTTTACCTTCCTCTTAATTTTTCTGTGAGCCTAAAATTACTCTAAGAAAAAACGTCTTGGGGCGCCTGGGTGGCTCAGTCAGTTAAATGTCTGCCTTTGGCTCAGGTTATGATCCCAGCGTCCTGGGATCAAGCCTCATGTGGGAATCCCTAATCGTCCGGGAGTCTGCTTTTCCCTCTGCACCTCCCCCCTGCTCATGCTCTCTCTCTCTCTCTCCCCCTCTCTTGCTCTCTCTCAAATAAATAAATAAAATCTTTACAAAAAGAGTCTTAAAAAGAACTATAGAAATATATGAACAAAAGAAGAGAATAATCCAATCCCCAAGATGTCCCCTTCCATACTCCTAGTCCCTGGCTCCCCTAGATCTCCAACCCTGTCAGGGTGATCACTATCCTGCCTTCTAACAGCAAAGATGAATTTTGGCCAGTTTTTATAACTCATGGAAATGAAATCATATTATAAGTACTTTAGGGTCTGACTTCTTTCACTCTTCCTTATGTTCATGAGATTCAGGGTTGCTGTGTGCAATTATGAATCATTCCTTCTCACTGTTATATAGTATTCCATCAAGTGAATGCCACAATTTGTTTATCTACTCTTATTATTGACAGGCATGTAATTTCCAGGTTGAATATCACAAATATGAATAGTGTTATAGAATATTCTACTACATGTCTTTTGGAGAATATGTGCACACAATTTCTGTGGGGCATTGTTACGGACTATTTGCATCCCTTCAATATTCACATATTGAAGCCCTAACACCCAATGTGACAGTAGTTGGAGATAGGGTCCCTGAGGAAGTGATAAAAGTTAAAAGAAGTCATAAGAGTGGGACCCTAATCTGATAAGGCTGCTGCCCTTGTCAGAAGAGAAAAAGGCAGACACCAGAATTAGCTCTGTCTGCCATGAGAGGATATACTAAGAAGGAGCTATAAGCCAGGAAGAGAACTCTCTCCAAGAAGAACCCAATCAGCCAGCACCCTGATCTTAGACTTCCCAGTCTCCAGAACTATGAATAACAAACTTCTGTTGTTTAGGCAGCCAGTCTGTGGTATTTTGTTATTGCAGCCTTACTAATACAAATATATATCCAAGAGTGGCATGGCTGGTCATAACATTACATACATTACATATGCAGCTGAATATATACTGCCTATATATATTACTGCCAAAATTTTTTCCAAATTGGTTACCAGCAGTATATAAAAGTTCTAACTGCTGCACATCCTCACCAACATTTAGAACTTTCCATCTTTTCTACTTCGGCTACTTTGGTGGGTGTGTAATGGTACTGCATTGTGGTTTTAATTTCCATTTTTTGGATAATTATTGAAATAAGCAATTTTTCCCGTTTATTGGACATCTGGATATTCCTTTGTGAAGAGTCCATTCAAACATTTTGTCCATCTTTCTACTGGACTGTCTTTTTTTAAATGATTTGTTCTAAATACCAAGTGCTTTGTCAGAGATAGGTATTGCAAATACTTCTCCCACACTATGGATTACTTTTTGATTCTCTTAATAGTGCCTTTAATGAACTGAAATTCTTAATTTTAATATATTCCAATTTATCAATTTTGAAGAATTCATTTTTTAAAAGATTTTATATATTTATGAGAGAGAGAGCAGGAGCAGGGGCAGGGGGAAGGGCAGAGGGAGAAGGAGACAAGCAGACTCCCGGCTGAGCCTGGGATCCATCCCAGGACCCTGAGATTATGACCTGAGCAGAAGGCAGATGCTTAACCGACTGAGCCACCCAGGCGCCCCAAGAACTAATTTTTAGCATGTTCTGAACACCTATAGCATCCTAGGTGCCTTTAAGACAAAAACAAGGCTAAATCCCTTCTTTCTAGGAATAACATCATATCCATACACAAGCTAAATGCTATACACAGCATCACTCTTCACAGTTATTTTTAAGGGGTTCCTTCTAAAGGGGTATGCCATTTCTCCATGTTTTGTGTAAAACTAAGTGTTTATGTGTTTATGGCATTAATTCTTAATTATTGGACACAATGTTTTTAAACATTGACTTATGCTTTTGAATGCCAATTTCTAAGCCCCTTTGTTTCACAGCCATCAAGAATTGGAACTGATTTGAGTTGTGGATTTTTGAGAAATGATCTTATTTCAATTATGGAGGTGGCACTGTATAATCTTAAAGTCAGAAGAGATAGCTAGAAGTCATGTTTTCCAGCTCTGTATTTTTAGGTTAAGAAAATACTTCATTCAAACACTCCTTAATACCTGAGTGTGATCCACTATCTATCTGCCTTCTTTGAAGTAATTTCCTACCTTAGAATAGAAGACAGAGAGAGATAGTCATGGAGCCTTGAATTAAGGAAACCCTCTCCACTGATAAGGTTTTTCCAAGAGGGCATCTTCCAGTAGAAATACTTCAGTTCCCTAGCCCTTTTCCCAAGCCTTCATGGGAGAATGCAGTGAAACCTAATCTAAAGATGTGGTTCTCTTTATCAGTGGTTTTTACCTTATAGATGCCACAGAACCTAGAGTTTCTCAGACATACTTCAGGTTCCACAAATGTTTGATTCAAATTTCACTTTTTTAAATTGATTTTCATACTGCCAAGGGATATAATGCCAAAATTTAACACACTGCAAACTGCCTACACGTTAATTTGAGGTTAAATCATCTGAGTGTAGATCTCAGAATTAATCTCCTCCTGCCATCTTTATAATTGAAGCACATGTCCAAGATTTCAAAGTAAATCATTTTAAGACCATTCTAATTTGTATCTACTTCTCTGGATGTATCAGGATATTCTTGATAGTGTACAATAAAAACAGAATGATGAGAAACTGTCCTGAGGCTGCTTGTAGCTGTCCTAACTGCAACTGTTGTCCATACCCCCAACTTCGAAAGATTTCCAGCATAAAAGAGCAGAGTCAAGACTTCAGTGGCAGTGAGGCCATCATGGCACCCTAACCAGACTAGTTTCTGTTGGTCTCTGCCGTCCACAGACTTCCTTGGTTCCTTCCCATTTTCTGAGCTTGGTTCTGCCAAGTTCCTATTTATTACTTTAGCTACCCAATTTCCTTCTGATAAATTCCTTGTCTGCTAAAAACAAAAACACACCACCCTCTTTAAAAAAAAAAATTACCTATAGTTAATATTAAAATTTTGAACTTATAAATGTTTAATAAAAAACACAAGTTTTCATCTACTTTGTATGTTGGGGTTCTGTGACAGATTTTGCGTGAAAAAGACTCCAATGCTTCTCAAAATTTAATTTGAAAATTACAATACTGAATCGCCTCCCTGACTCCTGTCTTAGCCTCCCTTCAGCCATTTCTGTTGCAAGTCTAACCACATCATGCCTCCATCTAAAATCTTTTTAAAAACTTTTATCTAATAGGGAATCCTATAAGGTAAAGTCCAAATTATTTGCAGGACTACAAGTCCCCTCAAAATTTGGCACATGGTAACAGGTACTTAATGTTTGTTGAATGAGTCATTAAAATCTGGAAAATGTAAAAACTAGCCCACTATCCTACATCCCTCCCTCGAGTTTCAACAATAATAAGTCGGTATGTGATACTTACACATAATTATCTCATTAACATATAAGGCTTTCCAGACATATCATCTTATTTATGTATGGTTTCTCCAAACAAGATAAGTTTAGGACAAATAGGAAGAAATGCTTCTTTAGAAAGCAGGTGTAGATAAAATATTACCTCAAGTGGCTATGAAGTTTGAGAAAAGGTTTTCCTAAAGTAATAGACTGATAATGGGTGGCTGAGGATTATAAAGGCTTATAACTAAAGACCCCTGGTCTGACATTCACCGAGCTTAGGAGGTAGAGGTGCGCATCTGGGCAGTGCGCGGAGAGATGTGGGACATTTTTATTTTTAAAATTTCATTTTGTTTTTAAAATTTATAAACTCTTTTATTAACTATCTGGGGCTTACCCTAAACGGTGAACATGACAGAGAAGACCTAAACATAAAAGTGCTTCCCGACTTTACCAGCTAGTGCAAATCTGTGGACTCGGCTTTTAACTCGCTTCCCCAAAGACACCTTCTCAAGTGTCTCCTCAGCAACGCCATGTAAGCATTTCACTTGAGCCCAAGGCTTAGAAGAGAGATCTGGGTGTCAGTTCTGCCACTCACTACGGGGGTTATTTATTTTAAGCCTTAACTTTCCTCACACCCCTACTGATAAATCCCCCGAATCCCCACCCCGACCCCCGGCCCCCGGCCCCCGGCGCCCCAGGGTTGTTAACGCCTACATGAGGTCACATGTGACGACTTAATTACCTCCTCTGCGCCGCTGACCCTCACTCCCCCGGCCGGCCCCTCTGCCCGCCCCTCGGCCCCCTCCGCGGGAGACCGCGAGACCTTCGTGCGCACGCGCCGCTGCGCCCCGGGGAGCTCTCGCGCCACGGCGCGGCGCCCACTGGGCGTCCCCGCTGCTCGCCCCGGGGCGCGGGCGCGCGCGCGCGCTCCGGCGGCCCCGCCCCCCAGCCGCGCGCGCCCTACGGCCGCCGAGGGGCAGGGACGCGAGCGAGGCCGGCTATGGAGCCCCTGCGGAGGGCCCACGAGGCCGCCCTCCGGCTGCTGCTGTGCCGGCCCTGGGCCTCGGGCGCCGCCTCCCTCCCGAAGCCCCGCGCCTCGGAGGTGCTGACGCGGCACCTGCTGCAGCGGCGCCTGCCGCACTGGACCTCCTTCTGCGTGCCCTACAGCGCAGTCCGCAACGACCAGTTCGGCCTCTCGCACTTCAACTGGCCCGTGCAGGACGCCAACTACCACGTCCTGCGTACCGGCTGCTTCCCCTACATCAAGTACCACTGCTCCAAGGCCCCCTGGCAGGACCTGGCCGGGCAGGACCGGTTCTTCACGGCGCTCAAGGTCGTCAACCTGGGTGAGTGGCCCGGGCCGGTGAAGCACGTCCCGCTGACAATGGGATCACTGTTTGCAAAGCACGCTGACAAACGTCGTTCAGACGCCGAGACCCCGGCCCCAAGCAGGCCACGACCGCGCCGGGGAGCCCCGCCTCGGCCCAGCGCAGGCTCGCTTGGGCGCACGCGCTCGCCACGCTTGGGCCGGCGCTGTTGGGTTTCCCAGACCCTGCCTCCGCGTCTCACCCACTCTGCGGCGTTTTAGGACTGGCCTTGGCCCTAGTATTTTGGATTCCCCCCACCCACCCCAGTCGCTCCCCGTACGTGCTTGTCGGGGCTGAGTAGTTGCTACTGAGTCATTCCCAGAAAAGTCGGGCTTTATCCCAGACCTATATCCAGGGACCACACTGCGTCACCCTTGGGGAGGAGACATTCATTCCATCGTCACCTGCGGCAGCTCTTGACTGGGAGGACCCCTACAGTGGGCAGTAAGAATGAGGGTGTAAGGAAACGACCCCACTGCAAAGTGGCTCTGAAGTTAAGAGATGTCTTACTGCATGGCAGGATTCGTTCCCATGACCGTCGTTTTCTTGGGTGCGTTCAGTATTATAACTGGAACTACTTTCTGAGTTTCATTGTTTTCTTTATATGAAATCCCAGCAAGTGCGTTTTACTAAAAGCACTAAAGGTTTTCACCGGTCATATCAGCTTCCTAAGGTGCTAGGCCTAAAAGGTACCAAAATATTCAGCCTCTTTAATATTTCTCTGTTTTCATGGGAATATTCTAATTCGGAGACAATTTACTCTTGCTGGATGCTTATTTTCTTTTGGCTGATGAGGGAAGAGGCATGAACATTGACGTGGGTATATCGTTTGTATCTTAATCGAGAGGCCTCAAGATGTTTTGAACCTATTAATAGGTAATATCACATTGATCCAGATTTTAGTAATTCAAAATCTAGACGTGGGAGCTGGACCATGTTACCCAACCAGTTTTTTAAAATCAGAGTTAAAGCTAAACCCCTGTGCACCTGCACTGGTATTATATAATCTGATGGCTTATTAATTTAAATATGGTATTTATGTATTTTTGCTTATAGTAACTCACGTCAGTCATGGGATTTTTGAGCCATTGGTCTACTGGGACTGTCCTGGGTTCAGTCCACCCAAGGAGAAGACAATTATTTAGCGATGTGTAATTCTTTAAAAATTTGTCTATTTGGCTGATGGACTACATAGAGCATACCCTCTAATTTTGAGGTTGAAGTTGAAGGGTAAGCTCACTTGGAAGATTCGATTCTCAAGACTAGAATGATGAATAGGTTCAGGAAGAAGTTTATTTTAGCATTTTCAGAATCAGTCTTTCATCCCAAATGTAAAGCGTAACAGGTTAGGAAAAGTATAATTGGTGGATGATAGGTAAACCATGAGCCAAATGCCTTTTAAAGAAAGTTTTCATTTGAAACTTAACACTTTAAGAACACCTTAATGATTAGGGCCTTCTCTTTTAAATATACATGCAAAGAAATCCAAAGAAAAGTAGAATACCCATAACATTCTCATGAAACATTTTGAGGAAAGAAACAACAGTTGTTTTTCTATGTGGAAGAGAAGGCTGAAGAGTGATTTAATGGTCTTTGGAAATTCTAAAAATCCTGCCCAAATGGGAATAAGAGTTTTAAGTTAAACAAAAGGGAAGAGTTTCTGCTCATTCATGCTTTAATACGAATTGGCTTTTACTGGTAAAGGGAATTTTTTTCTGGACTTTTTAAAGAGCAGTGTATTCACCAATTTGGTAATGTTTATTTTATATTTTTGTCTTAAGGTAGGGAATTAGATAATAGATTCTTTCCGGTTCTGTGATGCCCCCTCTGGATCATCAAATACCTATTCTATTAATAAAAATACTTAGGATCTTATTCCTCTTACTCCTTTCTAAATTAGTAATTATCAGAGTAATTCATTTTTCCATTTTGTAAATAATAAAGATTTCTCTTTTACCATTTGTTCCCTCCCTTTCTCCTCTGCCTTCCCTTCAATGGAAGCTGACATTTTACTGATGGTTTTATCAGTCTGGGTATCCTGCTGGGAAGTAGATTGAGATTTAAGAAAAGCAACTTACCATTGGAATGAATGGGTAATCGGAGACTTGCTAAAAGTTCTAATTTTTTTTAAGTGCTTAATTTGACAGTGGTTTACCTACTGTTCAGCTGACTCAAAATGAATTATTATGCAAAGAACTGACGTTCATGTTCATTTTGATGTTATGTTTCAATCTGGGAAAAAAATAATTTCTCATGGAATTTTACAGACTTTATAGCATATGTGCTATAGATAAAGAAAATTATTTTTTTATGTTTAAATTGTTTAAGTAGCAAATCTCATTTTAGCCTGACTACATTAAGTGGACTGCAGGAAAAAAGAAATAGAGAATTTCTGACTTTTGTATCACAGCACAATCCTCTATCAAACAGCATTACTGATAGTGGTTCCTAGCTCTTTCTTAAAAGTGATAATGTAGTTATTATAAGCTAGTAATCTTTGGTCAGTTCTCCCATTTTAGCTGAAAAACTATTGACCATTGATTTGTGTGGTTTTTAAAACATGTCAATATTTTAACTGAAAACTGGTAAGTACTGTAAAACAAGATTTCAGTTTCACCAGCCATTCCTTAAATTTATATCCTTAGCATTGGTTTAAAAGGCATATTTTATTTTTTAAAAAGGCATATTTTATATATTTTACTGTCAATATATTTAGAAAATTAGTTGTTTCTAGGACCTATTTTGTTCTTCCATTGATTTTCAGCTTTCAAGTTGTGATACTGTATTTTAAATTTATTTTTTATTTCAACTTCTCCCTCTACTCTTCACTCACTTCTGCCTGTTTTCTTGTCTACTTCCCTACATACTCCCTTTACTTTTTTTTTTCTTTTTGATAAGTAGCTTTATGATGCTAGTTTTTGTGGCTTTTTTTGTGACATTCCCTTGAAGCATTTAGAGATTCTCTTGGGTATTACCAAGGCAAAGAAGGCCAATATACTGTCAAAGATTTCATGAGAGTTCCAGGGAACCCTGTGATGGTGACAAACTGTGACCCAGTATATTACTAAAAATAGAGGGGTGCCAGCCTGAATGGGCATTTTTGCCTGTTCTCATTGCCAGCTAGTGACGCTTCTTTTGATTAATCTCTGGCATCACAGTGGTTGGAATGCAGCTTCAGGGAAAAAGCACAAAGTAGTCCAATGCACTTAACACACTCAAAACGAGCATAATACAGTAAATATATTCTTGCAGAAAAATAAAAAAATCTAGCAATAGGATCAGTCCTGAGCATGTGATCTCCCTATTAACTAGAAAGAGGAATTTCCCAAATGTACAGCTCTTCTTTTAAATTGTCATTTTTCTGTCCAACTCCTACACAAGAACAATAAAATTAATACTTATATAGAGCATACAATATTTGTTATTGATTCATATGCCTGTGGTTTTATACATGTTTTAAGTATGTTAATAGTCACTGATTTTAAATAGTTGCCTTAAAAAAGATAGGAGCTGTGAAAGTTTATTTTGTATCCAAGATAGTGTCATATGCATGAGTGCTTAATCCATTATCTCTGGTTAGTATATGTTTAGTTTCCTGTATCGCAAATGGCAACTAATCTCAACTATAACAGCAAAATCTTATCAAATGGAAATATTCCAAAGAAGAAACATGTTGTTGGAGCCTACTGTATACCTATTTCAAATAGGTTGAAACAAGATTGTTTTCAAATCAGTTGTAAAAATACTCATGGGAATATTTCTCATACCTGTTATACTAAAATCTTCCTTAGAATTAGGGTTTACCTTAGGTTTCGAAGACAGCTATTTGACCCAGTTTCTTTTAAGTTGTACAAAAAATTACTTTAGCCATCAGTGTTACTGTTTGACGTAAAGCACAGTAAAGTTGACCTAGTAATTTGAGCTTAAAGCCACCAATCCAGAGCATCTACAACTAAATTAATGAATATTCTATTTGCTTATTTGTGAAAAGTATATAGAATTACTTCATAATTGGGGCACCTGGGTGGCTCAGTCGTTAAGCGTCTGCCTTCGGCTCAGGTCATGATCTCAGGGTCCTGGGATTGAGCCCCGCATCTGGGCTCCTTGCTCAGCAGGAAGCCTGCTTCTCCCTCTCCCACTCCCCCTGCTTGTGTTCCCTCTCTTGCTGTTTCTCTCTGTCTAATAAATCTTTCAAAAAAAAAATTCATAATTACTTGGAAGTGACAAATTAGTGCTTAAAGTGCTTTGAATTAAAACTTAAACCAGCCTTATCTATAGTTTTAAAAATCTCTAGGCTCACACAGTTGTTTCCATATTCCACAAACTGATGAAATTGAGCTCTTAGCTAATTAGAATCAGTCTGTACTCATATCTTTATATTTTCATAACTTTACAATTTGTTGACATTGCAGAAGAGTGCTCTGTGATTTGTACCATGACAAATACATGGATGCATGATTAATTAATAAGCATTGATGTTCATTAATAACATATTCATTTGTTTTCTAGGTATTCCAACCTTATTATATGGACTTGGCTCCTGGTTATTTGCTAGAGTCACAGAGACTGTACATACCAGTTATGGACCAATAACAATTTATTTTCTAAATAAAGAAGATGAAGGTGCCAGGTATTGAAGGTGTGCATCGGAGAACATAAATATCAATGGATTTTCTCTTGTGTGTATATGCAATGTTTATTTTTGACCCTTTAAAATAAAACTTTTGTAAACACCTTTTTCTTTCTATGGTGTCAGGTTCTTTAAGATGAATCATTGCCCTCAAGAGGCAAAGCTTTTCATACATTGTTATACATTGCGTGCTCGGTTTAGCCAATGGGAACTACAGATGCATGAAGCATATACCAATTTTTTTCCTAGAATTAGGTTAAATTACAGATAAAAAATGATTATAACATACATATATTCTGCAGTTAGGTATTAACAATTCAAGTTGATTCTTTGAGGAGAAAATGGATCTTTTATAGGACACTGGAAAAAGAAGTAGAGGATTTTAGGATATATGTGGAGATAATACCATTGGCAATTTCAAAACTGATGGATTCTAATTGTAATCTGAAATCTAAACTATTCAGCTGCCAGGATTTTCAATGGGAATGTCTTAAAGCCCTTGTGCCATTTACCTAGATGAGAGGTCTAGATGTAATGTTGAAACTTCTTATTGCCTAAACATCCAATACCATACTACTTTCTTAAAAAAATAATGACTCTGGTTAACGTAAATGTAGCAAGACGAATGAAATTAAGACTTACTAAAAGTTAAAATAGCATGCTGATAAAGCTGTAAGAACAATTAAGATCAAGAAAGACCCAGAAGAATAAATTTGGTGACTGTTTATAAAAGCAATTAGCTGAAATGGTACATATCCATACACTTCTTGGCATTGGGAAATGGGCTGAAATTTTAAAGACCTGATAGCAGTTTTGTGTTAAGATTTTATTAAGTTAATTGCATTTTTGAAAGCAAAGTCATTAAAAAAAATTTATCCTTGGGGGTAGTTACAAAATACCCAGACGAATGGTAAATTTCAGAAATTTGGAGTAATTTAGGGAGAACTAAGTAGAACTATTTAATTTCTAAACCAATGGGTGTTTAAGATTTATGATCTCTCCCATAATTACAAGCATACATTATATATCATTTTACGTTAATGTGTTGCTGATACTCTGCAACATTCACACATTATTGTAGCAAAATATTTTATAAAATACAATCTAACCAGCATTTGGGTGCTTGCTCTGGCAAATCAGTAGAGAAAGTGAGTGGCAGTGACTGAGGTGAAAATACCAGAATAAATGAATACAAACTGACTTCTTTAAAGGGAGTTGTTTTAAATGAGCTGCAGAAAGTGAGCTGTTCTTCAAATATATGTAGTGTTCACTTGTCTAAATGCAATTCTAAATAACACTTTAATCAAGGAAGTACTTATGCCATTATATTTAGTCCAGAAGAATATACTTGACACTAGTTAAATGAATGGCTTACACAAAGGAGATAGTGTTACATTAAGCTTCATTAATAATAAAACTGACTATTAGCATTTTGCAAGGAAGGCTAGAACTGATTTCCCCTGTAATGGGCAAAGTTAAATAACTATAGCTCATAAGTTTTAAGTCAAATACTGCTCATTCACTGCTGCTGGTCTTGTCAATACTTGCCGTAAAGGTTTGGTCCCAGCACAAGGCCGATAAAATGGTTTTTAATTACCAGACTATAAATACAGCTTTTCAGTAGAGTTGCACTTCTTTTCACACTGGCCTGTTTGATTTCTGATAATTTGTACTGCTGACTCTGCTTACCTGTTTTTCAATAGCTACAGTCAGTGTGACTTCTTGTCCATATGGTGATAGGTAAGTCTCCTTGGAAAAGATCTTTGACAAACTACCCTATTGATCTCTGTAATTCTCTGCTGCTTGCAGCATTAAATAGAGCCTTGATTTCTTGTCTCATGCGCTCGCTGTGTAACAATTAAGCAAATGTAATATTTTCTTGTATACATGAAAATCAATAGACCTCTTGCTCTCATGGAGTTGATCATGGTGAAGGATGAACTCAACGATGGCTAAGGGCATAGTTCAAATATTAAAATCTCATTCATTGGATTTATTAAGTCTTACAGTGAACCTTTTAGTCTAAAAATGCTCCCCATTGAACAGTAGTGGTTTAAGTTTTTCCTTTAAAGTTGAATATGACATGGAAGCATTGTGGTCTAAAAGGGGTAAAGTATAAATGCTAGAAGTCAGGATATTGATTCTATTTTAGTGTCCTGTATTACTTTTTGACCTCAAGCTAATAACTACTCCTTAGTGTCTTAGTTTTTTCCACCTGTAATCTGAGAAGAACAAAACAAGGAACCTTTCTACTTTAAAATGTATGATAAATATGCTTGTAAGCAAATGTCAGTTTTATTTCAGTAAAAGCTGGTTTTGTAGTCCTCATTCTTCTATTCCATATGTATTTATTTGTAAAGAACGTCATTAACGGAAGGATTTTAAAAATAAGGGAGAGGAAGAAAGGAGGAGACAAATTGAGGCATTGTGTGGTTGCCTGCTTGAGAGCTGATTATGCCTGAGATGGCAGGCAGTGTTCCGAGTTGACCCTGCCATTCTGGATATTAGGAATATTCTTAGTTGATGAAACAACCAAAAACAGCTTTTCTGCCAATACTTCTTTGATGGGATTTTGTCTTTAAAAAAAATCCAGGCAAAACTATTTTTTAATGAAGATGAGTGTTAGTATAAAATTTTAGGAATCTTCTATTGTTACTTCTACGCAAATCAGTTATCAAGTATTGGAAGAAATTTCTGGTCAGAATTTTTAGTTCCTGTGTGAACTGTGAACCACCATAAGGATACAATAAGAATTGGCATGGACGAGGTGGCTAATATAAAAATCCCTAGTTTCTCAGTGCTAATGTCTTATCATACCAAAATGACAAATAGCTATTTCTTTTATCACACATATTTGGTCACTAAGATTTTGCTAATTGTTGACCAGTAAAAAATTAAACATTTTTAATTATTAAAAGCCATACATATTTCTTTTACAATGTACATTTTATTTCTTGTCATTTATATTTATATTCACTCAAAACTCTAAGCAAGAACATCTATAATGCTTCATGAAGTATCTCTTAATTCTATTAAAGAATGAATGATGTTTAAATGGGTGGGGTGACATCAAGACAGGATCTTGGTTTCATTTCATTTAAAAGCTAATGCAGATAACAGAAACCTTATCCTAAAGCTGGTAGATCAGGTATCTTTTTTTCAGCACTTACCATTCAGACAGTAATGATGTTTGAGGGCATCTTAACCTAAACAAGTATTTAGCATTACATCTCACCTGGGTCAACAGTCTAGGATATCAAAGTTAAACTGTGTTACTGTAAATTAATGGAAAATGTAACTGCACTTTGCTGAAAGATCAATGTCCAATAAAGGCTGCACAATCAAATCTTGTTGCAATGATTGAGGTCTTTAATTGCCTTTCAAAGATAAGGTGGTAATCAACACAGCTTTAACTGATTTTTTTACTAGTTCAATCACATGCTAATGACTAGTGCCAAGTCAGAATCTTTAACTACTTACACTTATTAAATCTTATGTTAGTAATGAAAAATTACTTTAGCTACACAATCGATAGAACACAAATCTTAATTACTATATTTCACTTTTATACTATTTTATATGCTTGACAAATGTTACACAAGAGCTTTCCCAACAGTAAGAAGTGTTATTAATAGTGACCGTGGTCCACAGAGTATTTTTGTAATATAAATTAGAGAAGAGATGTTGAGAAAAAATTTCTTCTTTAAACGAAAATGTGGCTAAAATAGTTTCACTGACATAAGTTTGGCCATCCAGCTACTTCTAGGAATTCTAGTCTGCTAATTGAGAATACCTTTAATACAACTGGGATAAAATAAATCCAGATTGTTTTTAGTGTGTTTCCAAAGTTTCAGTTAGTTTTCTAGTAAAGAAATTGATTTTGTATAAAGCCTGCTATAAAATTCTCCTAATTCGGGAAAGGATAAGTTAGTAAAGGGAAATGAAAACTGAAAATAAGTTGGACTTCAACAAAATTAAAAACTTTCATGCTTCAAAGGATACTATCAAGAAAAGGAAAAACCAACTGATGGTATGGAAGAAAATATTTGCAAGTCATGTATCTGGTGGGGGACTTGTAGCTAGAATATATAAAGAACTCTTATAACTCAAAAACCCAATTGAAAAATAGATTTAACAGATATTTGTCCAAATAAGTTATACAAATTTTTGCTACTAAGCACATGAAAAGATGTTCAACATTAACTGCTGGGAAACTCAAAACCACAATGAGATACCACTTCATACCTCCTAGGATGGCTATAATCACAAAGACAGATGATACCAAGTATTGCCAAGGATGTGGAGAAATTGGAACCCTCATGCATTATCAGTGGGAGTGTAAAATGATGTAACAACTTTGGGAAAGTTCAGCAGTTCCTCAAAATATTAAGCATGAACTTAACATGTGACCCAGCAATTCTATTCCTAGGTATATACTGTAGAGAACTGAAAACCTATGTTCACACAAAAACTTGTATGAAAATGTTCATAGCAGCATTGTTCATTTTAGCCCAAAAGTGGAAACAACCCAAATAGCCACCAGTTGATGAATGAATAAATAAAATGTGGCATGTTCACACAATGAAATATTATTCAGTCAAAAAAAGGAATGATGGACCCATACACATGATAGGATTGATAAAGCTTGAACACATCATGCTAAGTGAAAGAAGCCAGTCATAAAAGACCACATATTACATGATTTCATTTTTATGAAATGTCCAGAACAGGCAAATCTACAGAGCCAAAGTGAATTAGTGATTGTCTAGGGATGGGGAGGTTGGGAGGAAATGGGCAGTGACATGTCATGGGTATGGATTTTCTTTTTTGGGTGATGAAGCTGTTCTAAAATTGTGGTGATGGTTCACAACACTGCGACTATACTCAAACCAGTGAATGGCACATTCTAAATGGAAGACTGTGTGGCATGGGAATTATCTCTCAATGAAACCGTTAAATTAGTAATGGGGAGAGGGTAAATGGGCCATTAGTATTTAATGCGATATGGTTTCAATTTTGCAAGATGAAAAAAGATCTCAGACAGATGGTACCAATGGTTGTATAATAACGTGAATGATAATGTGACTGTACTTGATACCACT